TAATTATCTCTTCTAGTTTTGAATTTTGTACTCATTTGCTGCTTGCCCATGGTTGCTAAGCCTTATCAAATTTTGTACGTGGAGGATGTGAAACGAAATGATTATTTTTAGGTTTTATATATACATTTGAAATACAAAAAATCATAAATTACTATATCAATACCATTGAATTCCACTATAATTTATCAAGCTTAGTAAGTAAGCTATATTTGGGTCTAAAAAAATATTAAATTTTGAGCAGACTAAAGACTCAACTTATCAGCTTGAAGTCTTGCATTGAAAGAATGAGTTGACATCATAATATTTCAAAATGGCTGAGAAACTCACTAAGGGGACATTTTGAGCTTTCAATTGGTTATTCACAAGTCATAGACAGAAGTAAATGTGTATTAGGAAGTGTTTCCAAAAATGGAAAGAAGTGGGCAGGGCCCACTGTGTTTAATACAGTACATGAGCGATATATATCAGCAAATAGAAAAGATAGGAGGTTTTTATTTTATATTCTAGGTTGTCAATATCAGTACTTTGAGTTCGTAATTCATAAGAAACTTGGACATCACAAACATCTAATTTGAACCAGTTCTGCATTCAACATACCCTGTAACACACAAAAATCGATGTTAAAATGTTTTTTTAATTACTTTTAAATTAAGAAATTAATAATGTATAATACTAAAATTTGAATTATAATCTACAATTTGATACCAAACTTGTTGACATAAATTCATAAAATAGTAGTTCAATAAAATTTTGAATGCAAGTCAACAAACGCGATGACATGACCTTTGACCCCTGACTTGTGTGGAGTGGGTTAAAACAAATTTATGTCAGAAATTAAACAAATGGGCAGCATCTGCTTGGAGTTAAGAAAATTTTACGGATTACCTCACCAGAAAGACCAAAAGTTCCATGAAAAGTTTAAAAAATTCTAATAATAAATCAGAAATGAAATAAATAATCTGATTTGTGTAATTAATAAAATGCAAATAAACAACAGAAGTTTTAAACATTGTGGTTAAATATTAGTTACACATTTGACTTACTTGCACAATAATTTCCAGGAACGTTCATTTTCAGCTTCTTCGCTATATATTCTCAGATTCAAATCTTCATCAACTTGATACCAATACATGAGACCTTTGACATCTCTCCCAACAGGTAATAATCTCAAATTGGATGCATCTTGTTGATTTATACCAGTTTTAAATTTTGAATTTGTGTCAAATTGCATTTCAAGTAATCTCTATCAAAAAAAGAAACATACATGTTATGTTTTGTAATAAGATAATACATATTACAAGTTACACTGATTATTATACAAAATACAATGTAACCACTATTTTGGACAACATTTTCTGAGAAGTATACAATATATAAAATTGCCTATGTGCTCAGAAAGATACCCAATTAACAAAGCAGTTCAATTATTCTTATTCCAGAAAAAAGACAATACATCAGTGCTTTGCACAAGAAATATTAAGGTTATAAGGCAACATACTGCTATAAGTTTTATTTTTATTATTATAATTTAATGTTTGCTAGAGGGAGCTAATGATAATGATGATGATGTAATTACCTAGAAATTGGGTAATTATGGGTACATTATAAATACGATAATCAGTGAAGTAATGAGTTACTAAGTTAGTTCTGTGATTCAGTGAGAAGGTACAAGTGAGAGAGTGATAGTTAAGGCATTTCTGTGTTTACAAGATTATTTAAAATTAGGCCAGCAAAGTAAACATAGCATGTAACAAATGTTACTGAAGAAATAAATGAATTCATTATCATTACATGGACTGGATACAGTATTAGTTTTACCAAAAGAGTGCAACCAAATATGAAAACATTACAACAATACGGTAAAGTCTTAATCAAATTTATGCTATCATAATAGCTCTAGATTTTATTTTCAAATTGAAACAAAGCAATTATTTATCTAAAGTTACCAATTTAAAGTATCCATATGTTCTGTAGAATATTATTAAATCAGGAAAAGAATATAACATTCAGACTGATTTACAACCAGATTAGGAAGTATCAATACAAACTCTGAGTATTGCCATAGTTACGGTATGAATCACAGCTGTCCAACTTTAAGCTAGTTGTGGGTCACATGGTATTTTAAGTGCAGTCTCAAGGACCAGAAAATAATTATTTATAAAAATAATTGTAGTTTGGCTTTGCTCAATTTTATTGGGGACTAAATGTCATAGTAATGCAGTGACAGGTAATAAATAATAAAGAACAAAGACTACAAATCAAAAACACTACAAAACTATTTTCATCTTCATTTTGTATTTATTTATTGATTTTTGGCTGGTAGTTGGCAGGCTGGTTGTACCTGTTTCCTGTGCTCAAAAATTTGAACACCCACAAAAAAATATCTTTTGGTCCATATTTTTGCATAAAAAAGATTATACTTTGTACAAGAGAAATGTTGGTACAATCCACCAATAAGGCTGGAAATGTTAGGAAAAGTTCACTTTTGTGATTGGCTAATAATGCTGTTTTAGTCACTAAACTTTCTATCATGGACAAGCTATGCCTCTGTGCTGCTTTATGCATGTAAATTCTGTATGGAGTTCAACTGAGTATAAATGGCTATAAGTGATAACACAGTACAGTGTATACAGCTCATTTAGTAACATTACCACACATTGTATTGCACGAGGTTTGTATGCATATATAGGTGGCCGAAAATTCGCAACAAAAATGTATGCCGACAACATTAATATTTAGTACGATTAATTTCTAGTATAGATGCTTCCAACAATAAAATTAGCATGGCTGTCTCAACTTCTTACCAATAAACCTTTGGTAGGATCTAAAACAATCAAATTTACAAAATCAAACTCAGAATTTTCATTGTTAATCATCACAGTTCAAATACTGACCCCCTTTCAATTACACACATATAGGCCTAAGGATAATGTTAAACAGACACGACCAATCCAGTCTAACAAATACGAAAGGCCTAGGTACCATGAGAAAAGCAGGAAAATCCACAAATTAAACAGAACATAACAATGATAACTGCATACAAAATTTTATGAAAGTTTGGATCAGTACAAAACAAAATAGTTTTGCTTCTCTCCACATCAATACAAACTACGTGTTAGAATGACAATACACATCAGCAGTGTGTGTGTGTTTATGTGCAGCACTCAGGCATTGTGCACATATTATGGTATAGTAGTATGTATGAGAGGTCCTCTGCTAGTCTAGTCTTTCTACAGGCTGTACTTTTCTGTACTTGGCGAGCAGGCCAAGCTGGTTAGAATGAAAACATTGAACCAAGATCACTGTTCTGTTTAAAAGTTTTACAGGTCATTGAATGTTTGTTTCCTTAAGATACTATGTAATATTAACATGGTAGGAGCTTATTTTTTTCAATGTAATGAAACTTCAATGGAAACAAGGCATCAAAAATTAGTTGAATAAAGATGCAAAATTCCCAACTAAACATTAACTGTATTTTTTGGATATAAATAAGATATGAAAACATCAATATTCTTGAAATTGGGTCTTTTTTCAGGTGTTTGTACATCAATATTGTTGTAATTTGATCTTTTTTGAGGGTCTGTATATACATGTTGCATTTTTTTCCCCAGACAACCTCTGATACAGGTGAAGTTGTTTGAAGGACAACCTGGAAATTTCCTTAAAAATGAGCCCTGATATATGGTTAGTTTTGGCAAAATTATTTTTCTATGATATTTTGAAATTGTATATCAATATTAAATATTCATAAAAATTATCCATGAAATTAATAACAGCATGTAATTTTTGTACTTGGAAATATTATTATTATTGTTATTATTTGTTTTGTTTTTTGTTTCTTTTTGCAAAAATACAATTAAATTTGATATTTAGTATTGTCAACTTGTACTATACCTTATGCAATACATGGGCTAAATGATTAGGCATAACCACCTCTAGTTTAAAACTGCTAACCAGACAGAGAGTAACCAGTAAGCAGCATCTACCACCTATTATCTGGCTACTCTCAACTAAATAGTGATATTGACTGTTATTATGTCCCCACAGCTGCAAGAGTGAGTGTCTTAAGTGACATACTGCAGTGTGAACCTTGGACCTTCCCATCCAGTTTGATGGGCTAACCATTACACTCCACCCAGACCTAATTTACAATTATAATGATCAGAGTGTATCTTTACATATTTGGTAGAAGCTCTAACCAACCATAAAACTCCCATTTCTCAAATACTACAAGCTTTTGTAAAACAGAAATAGGAAAATCCAATGAAAAATGGGAATTAATGAATTCTGATTTAAAAGGTCATTTTGCTCAGATTTAGAGTCATCCAAATTTCTGTTTTGACAAAGCCAATGAAATGAACACTTGCAGCAATTGAGGCTACAAATGTCTTAAAGTAATGTAGTTTTAAATCTGACTTGATCTCAGTTTTCACTTCTAGAAAAATCTACAATTCTACAGTATATTGTGCAGAGTTCTGGCTTAATTAAAAAAAAAAGGTTTTAAGTAAAACTATACAACTAAAACAAGAATGCTATTTGGATACCAATGTTGCATTATATATGTTACAGTTTTAATGATGGAAGTGGAAAACTTGTAAATTACACTTGTACAACCTTAAAAACGAATCTTCAACAAATCAAGAAGTCTTTTCAAACAATTATGGATTTTCATACAATTAACCAGAATTATAATAATTTAGTGTTATATTGGTAAAAGTTGAACAACATGTTATAAGAAAACAAATTAAAATATGATGATTTATGAAATAAAACTAATATGTATTTCATAAATTGCAAAATAGATGATGATTCTAATATATATTATATAAATGTACATCATTAATTCCCTTTCAACATATACTTCAAAACAAATTACAATCATTTGCATTGGAAGAATTTTTCTGGATAGAATAATAATGAATCCATAAATTTAAGTGCTAGCTACTTATCTTGAAAAAGAACAAAAGAAAAGTGTATTCAATTGGCTATACTCACTAAAAGGTTAAGTTTTAGATAGCTTGCTCTGATCAGAATTAATATTAACTAATCACATTGCAAAATATTTATATAAATAAATACTTTTCTTGACACATTTGTTGAAAATTATAAAGCTTTATCAGCAAAACATATCAATATACATATGTTAAAACAGAAAAATTTACAACTATAATATATTTAAGTGTTTAATATATATATATATAAGGCTATTTAATGATCATTTGTATAAAGCTATAGTAAGAAGAAAAACTTACTTTCAAGGCTTCAAGCTTCACAGAAAGTTTGGCTTTCTTATAGCCAAATCTTTCAATTTCCCAAGCATCAACATTTGAATACTGATGACAAAACTAGAAAAAAAAAAAGTTGTTCTATCATAACAGTAAACTAAATAAAATTATTAGAAAAGCTACATCAGATGAAAAAAGAATAAAATAAGTTTGTTATTTGAAACTGCAGCAGTGTTAAATATAAATCATTAAAAAAAAGTAAAAATATAAAGTTTATCAGCCTTCTTGCTAATGTGGTAAGTTAACATACTTCTAAATTTTAAATGTATTTCCAATAATAGCTACCTCTTCTGAGACTTTAGCTATTCCTCGATGTTGGCTTTGCCTATCTAAGCATTGGTCTTCAGTGCTCTAGTCTTTTATACCCCACTTAAATACTCTTGGCAATATCTAATTTGCAAATTCCTCCACCTGCGTTAATGCATTCTCTATCCTGACACTGTATATAAGAACCTCACTCAGCTAATGTAATCACTTTTTCAAGACTTACACCATCCCAGTCACTAATATTGGCTATTAGTGGGGAAGAAAGGTGGAAGAGTGTCAGTGGAGGTAAGTATTATTGGAAATATATTTTCAATTTAGGAAAATGTTAACTTCCAAAACATACTTGCCACTTTAGCTAGAATCCCACACTGAGAATGTAGATGGGCTGGTGAGGGCATTGTCCATAAGGAAAGCATCTGTATAGAACAGGGGTGTAGCAAGATAAGAGTGGTTCCCAAGTGGGGAAACCACATTACATTAAGAACAGGTAAGCTCTTCACCCAGAACTTAATATTGGTATCAAGAGTGGAATAGTACATGAGTAATTATCATAGGCCAGCCCCAACCAGATAGCCAAGGTTCCACAACTTGGGGTTGGAATTAAGGAGTCTTGGTCCCTATATCCCATGTTGGTGGCTAGGGCAATTGGACCACAATTTTATATATAGTTATACTTTTGATTAGATCCCAACCTGTAGCCATAGAGTGATGCATTCTGAACCACTGGAATTGCGATGAGAAAGGAAGCAACACTGAAATGGACAAACTTTCTCTTCCACCTGAAGAAGTCCAAAAGGTACTACCCGAGGCTCGGAACAGAACTCATCACGTCTGGAATTATGGATATTCATCCTCACTTTCCAACTGAGTGGGAAAGTAGCATTCCACTTGCCCCCAGAATTATGGGGAGGACGTGGAACACTGTGTTCAACCAAGGACCTAGGATGTAATCACTTCATGTTCAGAATTATGAGGAGATAGTGGAGCTCCTCCCATGAACAATATACAAACCGATACTGTTCATACGAAGGGCTAAGTACACTCCACCTGGATAGCGTAGGATTAAAGCTGAACCAGTATTAAGAGAAGGCTCCTGCAGAGGTTGGTGCCACTCCTACCGGCATCTGGGAAATAGATCTAGTAACCCAGGTAGGAGGGGTGGTAATGGTAGGAGCCTGAGGATGAGGTAATGGAGACTCAAAAGCTTGAAGGTGAGTATCATTGAGTGGCAAAAGCTATCACTGGAGGCTCAAAGTGAGAACAAATCTGTTGTAAAACTGCACCAGAGAGAATCCATTTGTTCAGGAGAAAGTCTGTGACTGACAATTTGCTATGAAATCCATCACCCCAGGAAAATGGCAAGCCAGGAGGCTGATATGACTGGAATAGGCCCCCATAGAGAAAGAACCAAACTTAAGAGACCACTGGAATTGATGAAATGTCTCATGAGGATATTCCCCTGCAAAATATCTAGACCTTGCACTATTGCCTGTTGGACAGCAAAATGTTCTGAATTACTGATGCAGAATGAAGATTCGTCCTCCATTCATATACCCTGGAATTCCTGACCTTGAAGATACACACCTTATCCACGAAGTGAAGTATCTGTGAAGAGAAACTATGTGCTGAGGGGCAGCATACATTTACACATACATATACACCCACAAATACATATATACAGATGCATTAATACACACATACACACACACACATGCTAATAATATAGGTGATCCAAACCAACCACCACTCAAAAGCTAAGATGTTGCTACCAGTAAAAGAGATCGGAAAATCCAGTGGTTTGAAGTTCAAGATCCATTAGTTGCAATGGGATCACTGAAGGGATAGCATGTGTCCTCATTCCAAAAAATTCAAGAAAGTTGAGGGAAGCTCACAAACCCAGAGATACAACCATCCCTGTAAGTAAGAGTCTGGCTGCCCATTCCACAGCCTGGAGTTGAATGGGAGGTGGCTGAGCCAGCCCTAAAACATGCTGAAAACTTGTATAACCTAGAAGAAGACATATGGTGCTGATGCTAGACCAAAGGCTAGATCTGTGAACTGCAGAACCTGATCCCAGTATGTAAAACATAGCTAAAGGCAAGATTAATTCACTATGAGAATGTCAAGAAATGCCTCCTCAATCTCAAACTTGGGCATTCACAGATCTGGTGAAGAATGCCAATATAGGGTGAGAAAGGACTCCATTGTGAACCAGGGAGAAAAGAAGAATGGGTTGAGATGAGAAAGAACAACAATCATTTGCGAATCTCCCCTTGTCTCAGGCACAACAAATAAACAGGAATAAAATCCCAGAAGAAAAGGATTAACTGTCACTACTACCCCCATGATCAGTAATTCTGATAGCTGTGAAACAAGAATCCACACCCCACTGTTCAGGTGGAGGTGAAAATACCTCAAGGTTAGAGGATAATGGAGATGGAGAATTGAATGGAAAACCAACCTCGATACCAGAATCTGAAGTGCCCGTGTATCTGCAGTGAAGGAATACCATGTATCCATAAATAGTTATAACCTCACTCTAACTGACCTTATCCCCTCAGCCCCCACCTCACCTAGATTGATACCAATGCCGTTGGCATCGGTCGGCCCAAATGGAGTGGTCCTGAAACTAAGGTCTATTCAGCTGCTAGAGCCAAAGAAGGTCGAGAGGTCAACAACAACAAAAAAGCAAATGACTGATGTCAATTTGCAATACAAAAGCCTCTGAGACACCCGCAAACATCAAATGATAATAAAAAGAAGCCACATATAACACTCAGAGGCTACAGCCAATGTATCTCTACAGAAGCAGTCACTAACCAAGGTAGAAATCAGTAGGAGACCCCATTTGTCTGCAAATTTATGTGGGGACCACTGAATGGCTGTCAACAATTTGCAGGAGGAAGACATATCACAGAGCAAGTGTGAGGATCTAACATGTACCCCAAAAAAATGATTGGTTCAAAGGGATCACATGAACCAACCTGGAACCCCACATATCCAAAATTAAACAATTTTAGTCTGTGGAATTGAAAAAATACGCCCTCCTGGAGGTGAAAAGCCAAAGCATGGCAACAAACAAACAAGGGTACAAGGTATATCTATCCCATCATGTAATAAAACAGTAAATCTTTCGGCATGAACCAGGAATATCAGGTGAAGAAGGAAAAACTAAATAGTCCCCCCCCACTCCCCTGACCATTCCACCATCAAGGGTCATGGAGAAAAGCCCCAAAATCTCATAACCCAAATGACTAATTGAAGAAAAGGAGTAGGAGGTGGTTGATCCAAATCGAACTCATGAGAAGCCGACTTAGTGAAGAAAAGCATCAGAAAAACTGAGTCCAAATTCTCCCCAGAATAACCAGGATCAAGAAAAAAGGCAACTTCAGAGGCTCCAGGAGAAAACACGCCTGGGTTGTATGTAAGGATCCATTGGAATCCAAACACAGACAGCCTCAACTCAGAGAGACCCTAGATAACAAAGGTAGAAATAGGGGAGGTCAGATTAACCGCCGTGCTAACAACAGTAATGCAGGAACTCATACCCGTAAAGATCATGTCCAATTTTTTTTAAAGGAAATTATAATTATATGGAAATCCACAAGGTGACGTGAAAATCGCAATTCATAATGGAATGAACTACAGCACTTCATCAGAAAAAACGTGACTGACCAATGCTTTGTCGAGAAAAAATAATTACAGTATTTAAGTGAGGTTCTTATATATAATGTCAGGATAGAGGACGCACTGACACAGGTGGAGGATTTGCAAAAAACAGATATTGCCAAGTGCATTTAAGTGGGGTATAAAAGACTAGAGCATTCAAGACCAATGCTTAGATAAGCAAAGCCAATATCGAGGAATAGTTATAGCTAAAGTGGCAGCAGAGGGTAAGTATGTTTTGGAAGTAGGTCTTCTTATTTTAATACTGAATATTTCCAATTTTTTTATTTATTCTGAATCTAAGCAGCTTTTGCATAACATGATCCAGAAAACCATTAAGTTTACTCCATTTTAGTTGCCTTTGTTGTTCTTTGGAGATAATACCGATTCTCTGTGTGGTGGGTACTGCTGTAACGTGTAAGAACTTAGATAATAGCAGTGTCCTTCACTATGGATCACATGATATCTTGAGGTAGCAATCTTCCTTACTTTAAGAATGATCAGTCATACGTAGTACAAGTTGCTGCGGGTAAATCAGGTGATTTTCAATAAGTCAGAAACAACAGATTTAAACCATATGGTTAGTTTACAGAAAGACAATTTGAGGGAAGAAAATACGTTAACTGATTCATAAGACCAGTAAAAAGCAACTAACCAGTGTCAATCACAATTATGTACACTGTTTTTGTATCACACATTATGTCTACTGTTTTTGTATCACACATTATGTCCAGACTATTTCTTAGCTTAAACCCAGTCAGTTAAATGAAATTCAGTATTACTTCACAATTCATTCTGCCAGTTCTCCCATTACAAACCAGACCAACTTAATACCTTTTGCAGAAATCCATTTACCCTGATAATACCACAGAGTAGATGGAAGAAATTTTGGTGCCATGACCACAGGATTTTATTGAAGTTTTCTGTATCCTTCACTGAAGGTCAGATGAAATCTTGAAGTTGTGGTCTCTCCTATGTTGAATGAGAATGATGTCACGAGTAGTATTGGACACTATAGGTAAATGAGATGTTTTCCATTAAGTTAGTTATGTTATATTTAATTCTATTAACACGGGCTCAATCACTTTGACTGACCTTGCAACCACTAGATAACTATAAAAACATCC